GGGGGGGGGGGGGGGGGGGTGCAGGAGCGGGGTGGATTGCGGGTTGTCCATTTGCAAGACTGTAATGACCTGCCAAAACACGGAGTGAGACACACAGCTGATTTCTGAGCTTTGCTCACGGAAAGAATGCCTTGCTGGGTTTCCCGCTTGTTGCTGGGTTTGCTAAGTCTGTGTGTGTGCATGTTTGCTGGTCTGCATGCCTGTCTGAATGCTTTTCTACTCGAGTGTGTGTGCGACCCGCAAGGGCACTTTTTCGTTCATTTGGCCCGCAGGGCCGGTACTTACCCGTGGCCATGACATTGAGGATTGCTGGTGTACATCAACTTCTTCTTCTTTCTTACTTCTTCTTCTTCTTACCCTTTCTCCTCTCTCAAGTTCATTCATTTCCTTTTGCAATTGGACGGCATTGTGCAAGGCCACTGCCTCTATAAGCCCCATTCAGCCCCTTTTCGGGAGCCTGTCGGCCGCCCTAAGTGAAGGCAGGCTCGACGAGGCCCTCAGGGCCCTATTCTGGCCACCACGCAACTCAAGGAAACTCAGGCAGTTGTGCAGCGCCAGTTGGTTGAGAGAACCCAGGCCCTGGGCCGCCTGTGTGAATGTATGTGAAGCAGGCCCTGGGCTGGATACGGGTACTGGGCCAAACACAGGCCAAAGGCAGTTCGGTGCATACAACCACCTCAGGCCCTGGGCCAGATAGGATATCAACTCTGGTTCTTCGTTGATGATGATGGGACTATTTCAGCATTGTCAATTATGAACTCTTGGTGTGTTCTTATTTGGTGAATCTCGTGATGGAATTATGCTGTTGGTTCGAGGTCACGACTATCTGGACTCGTATGTATGATGCTGTTTGATTGCTGAAGTTCGCTATTGCTCATCTTCCTTGCAATTTTACAATCTGATGAATGTGTACTTCGAAATTGGTCAGGATCATAACAAGACGCGGGATACAGTAGATGCTGTTTCCCGCCTGTCCTTGATGAACTGCTGCTGGTTGCATGCACCAGCTGCGGCAAGACAGGCTGAACACAGCAGCTTCTCTATCCCCCACAAAATCTCAAAAGTGAGGCAGGTTCACTCAGCAAATGCCAGCAACGCGAGCAGACTCAAAATCAGAACTTGAAAACAACATAAGTACAACCCACAAATTCACAGAAAGTGTTCCAAGGACTTCTGAGTCCTATGAATTCTAATGAATAGTGAGCCACCATTGGTGTAACGTGGTAAGAGTCATAACAGCAGAAGAAGAAAGAAGAAGACGAAGAAGAAGTGCAAGAAGTAAAAGAAGAAGAAGAAGAAGAAGAAGAAGAAGAAGAAGAAGAAGAAGAAGAAGTACACGAAGTAAAAGAAGAAGAGGCACAGCATTGATTGCCTTGGAAAACCCAAGGGATTAACTGTGCAAAACAACCACCACTTCGACTTTGACTGTCGAACATTTTTAGCCCTCAAACTACTGGAAGTGTAGGGCCCCCTTGCACCTTCCTCCCCCGCTGAGCCCTGTCTATAAAACCCCACACATACATCAGGGGCACACTGTGTCACTGATGTATGTGGCTATTCCCAGTCGCTTTCCCGACCCTCTTCATCGCTCTCACTACTGCTTTCTTCTGCATCCGAGTCGGTTGGATCGTCTTCCACGACCCTCGCCTTCTTCGCCGCCTTCCACTTCGGCCGCTTTCGCAGGCCTGTCTCCACACCGTCCACTGCGAGTGTAGGGCCCCCTTGCACCTTCCTCCCCGCAATGACATGCTCTTGCACCTCACCCCCTTCAGCACCATCCACACCGGCGGCAGCACCTGCGGACGCTGGCAGTGGATGCTTCCTCAGGCGACCCCTTTTCCTTGCCACTTTTGGACCAGTGTCAGGCTGCACCTTTCGCTTCCTTCCTGCCAGGCTGACGTCCAAGTTGTCGTGCTGCATGTCCTCGATCTCTGGTGGGAAAGGAAGGGTTTGGACCGCATCCAGGATGGCTGCTGCGCTGGACCCTTGTGGCCGCCTGGAGTTAACTCTAGCGATTGGTTGCGCACTCTCCTTCTCTTGCTGCTGCTGCTGCAGACCATCGTGTTGTTGCTGCTGATGCTGCTGCAGTCCATCCTCATCAGGCTGCTGCTGCTGCAGTCCTTCGTGATGCTGCTGTTGCAGCTGCTGCTGCCCAGTCTCTTGCTGCTGCAGCAACCCATCTTGCGCTGGCTCCTGGTGCTGCTGCTGGTGCTGCTGCAGCCCATCCTCTTGCTGCTGCTGCAACCCATCTTGCACTGGCTCTTGGTGCTGCTGGTGCTGCTGCTGCCGCTGCTGCGGAGTATGGTCGCAAGGCTGAAACTTAAAGGAATTGACGGAAGGGCACCACCAGGTGTGGAGCCTGCGGCTTAATTTGACTCAACACGGGGAAACTCACCAGGTCCAGACATAGCAAGGATTGACAGATTGAGAGCTCTTTCTTGATTCTATGGGTGGTGGTGCATGGCCGTTCTTAGTTGGTGGAGTGATTTGTCTGGTTAATTCCGTTAATGAACGAGGGGGGCTGGTGCTGCTGCAGCCCATCCTCTTGCTGCTGCTGGTGCTGTAGCCTATGGGTGGTGCTTGAGGACCCTAGCCCGGGGAGTCTTCGTCAGATTTGCCTGGTGGACCAGTTCATCGCCAGTCAAATCTGCTACAGTCGCTGCCTTGGGCAATGCAGCAGGATCATTCGGTGGTGGCGCCTCCACATCATCAAAGAATGCAGCCCACATGTCCAAGTACCCCGCCAAGCTTCCCATGCTCTTCTTCTTGATGTCCAACAGCTGAAGATTCCAGTGGACGTAGACTAATTTCGCGAGACTGTCAGGGGACAGCGGGCCCCTCCTCTTGTCATGGACAAGATCGAGAGATGACCAGTTTCTCTCACAAGGGTTTGCGGTGCTCCACATCGTTGTGACCCTCACGACAATGTCCCGCAACTTCTTATGAGAGGCCCCGTGCGCGTTCCACCATTCAGAGGCCGTCATTTGGGTAAGCGAGCTGTCAAACTTCGCGAATTCGGTCCAAAAGCTCTCCTCCACCACTTTCCCTGTCACTGGATCCTTCACCACGTCTCCAGTAGGCTCCCTGTGGAATGCTTGTAAGTCTGCCCACAGATCGAGCTGCTCCCTGCACCCCCAAGTGACCTCCTCTTTGCACTGTGACAAGAAGAACTTGAGGGTGTTTTGGACCAACGGGGTTTGCATGTCCATCAACCACTTCATGTCTCTCCTCCTTGGGTCGAGGAGAAAGTTTGCCGCATGAACAGGCTGCCTCATCATCTTCGTGCGCTTGCGGACTGCCTTCATGATTGCCTGCCGCTGAACATCGGTCAAACCCGTGAGTGTATTGAGACGCCTCCGCAACCCCTCGTCGAAATGCCAAAGGCTTGGGGGGGCTGTGCCATTGCGGTCCATCTTCCTCAACAACTCGTATATCGGCTCCAACACATCCAAAACCGTGCTCAACCTCACCCACCACTCGTTCCCAGTGACAGTCATGTACGTAGTGTCGGACTTATCTCGATCTTTCCTTGCACTCCACCTCAACAGCCTCCACCCCTCCTCCATCATATCCTCTAGCACACGTCGCCTGCCCCAAAACCTGTTCATCATCATGTATGAGGAAGCAAACCGAACCTCCGTGGGCAAAATCAACGTCAACTCCCTAGACAGTTCTGAACACTTTGTGTAAAGGGAGGCGGTGTGATGGTGTCTCCTTATGAACTTCACCATCATCTTTGTGCGCTGCACCACCTCCTTCACCCAATCCAGCTCGCAGATGTCCTTCATCAACAAGCTCAAGCAATGCGCTGCGCACGGGACCCATGGAATGCTAGATATGTCGCGATCAGTGTGCCTTCCCAGGATCCGTGCAGCTTGCTTGTTGACTTCTGCATTGTCTGTGCAGATTGCATTCACCCGCTGCACCCCGATGTCCCTGATGACTTGCTCCCACATCATCGCCAAAGCAATTGCAGTCTTCTTCTTCTTCGACACATCCACGACCTTCAGGAGGATTGCACCACTCTCGCCGGTCCCGATGAAGTTCATCACAGGCCTGTACCTTCGATCTGTGCACCCGTCAGTGATGAGGGTGCAACCTGTGTTGTCCCACTTTGCAGTCAGCGGCCGCATGTCTTCCTGAACTTTGTCATAGATGATGTCCAACACTATAGTCCGGACGACCCAACGAAGGCATCTTCACCCGCTGTTTTTTCTCCCCCAACTCAAGGTACAAATTGTGCAGCTCCTGAGTCTGTGTCGTCCTGACGTAGTTAAACGGGGCACCGTGTTGACAAAGGTGCATCTCCCATGCGATATCCAATCACCGCTGAGAATCATTCGTTGTCCACCTTTTGATTGACACTTGTGTCAACTTCCCCGACTTTTGGCCTGTAGTAGATCCTTGTGCAGACGTCCCTGCCATTCCATCGCCTTCCTCGTCAATCCCCTGTGGCCCTTCTTCATCAACCGTTGACAATGACACCGTTCTGCTTTGCTGCCCTGCTGGTGGCACTATGAACTTATCTAGTGTGTCCCCTTGAGCCTCCTCCGAAATTGCGGGAGCCAAACCATCTAAGGGGATGTTGTGCTCCATTCGGTATAGTTGGATGAGCCGCTGCGTCTTCTTGCAGTCAATCTTGTGGCCCGTAGCAGCAAGGATGTGAAGCATTTTCGGAAAACGACCCGGACAAGGATTCGTTTCCCATGTGAAGTGTGGCCACACACGCGTGTACGATGCAACCCAATCTGCGCCACATAAAGTACACTTCACCCTGTACTGCCCCTTGGACAATGGCGAGATCATCTGCCCCTGCGTTACTCACTTGAATGCCACCTTCGTCGCCTGCAGCTGCAGTTGCCTTGCCTCAGGCTGTGGCACAAATGCTTCCTTCACGCGCGTGGCCGTAGAGTCCGAACCCGCTGCCTCCTTCCCCCTCGAAGTGCCTGCTGCGCTTGAAGACGCCATCTTGCACAAGGTCGTGAACGACGAGGGGAAGGAGAAGGAGGAGGAGGAGGAGGAGAAAAAGAAGAAGAAGAAGAAGAAGAAGAAGAAGAAGAACTTGATGTGAAAAAAAAAAATCCAAACGAGGGAGGCTATGGTGGCGATGGATGGAGTCGACAATGTGAGGNGAAGAACTTGATGTGAAAGAAAAAAAAAAATCCAAATGAGGGAGACTATGGTGGCGATGGATGGAGTCGACAATGTGAGGTATGATGAAGAAGAACAAGGAGGAGGAGAAGAAGAAGAAGAAGAAGAAGAAGAAGAAGAAGAAGAAGAAGAAGAAGAAGAATTTGATCTGAAAAAAAAAAAATTGCAAAGTCTGACTGACAGCCTGACACAGTGCCACGTCAAGGGAGGGAGGCTATGGTGGCGAAGGAGGGAGGAAGAACAACAACGAGGAGGGAGGAGGAGGAGGAGGAGGAGGAGGAGGAGACTGCGGGGTGGGAGGAAGAACAACAACGAGGAGTAGGAGGAGGAGGAGGAGAAGAAGAAGAAGAAAAAGAAGAAGTTGATGAAGTTGATGTGAAAAAAAAAATTCTAAAGGAGGGAGGCTATGGTGGCGATGGATGGAGTCTATGGAGAGTGTCAAGTATGATGAAGAAGAACAAGGAGAACGAGAAGAAGTAGAAGAAGAACTTGATGTCAAAAACAAATCGCAAAGTGAGGCTGACAACGTGACACAGTGCCACGTCAAGGGAGGGAGGCTATGGTGGCGAAAAGGAGGGAGTCTATGGAGAGTGGGAGGTGGAAGGAAGAACAACAAGGAGAAGAAGAAGAAGAAGAAGAAGAAGAAGAAGAGCAAGAGGAAGAAGAACAAGAAGAAGAAGAGGGAGGAGGGAGGAGGGAGAAAGGAGAAGGGAGGACTATGATGGGAGGGAGGAGGGAGGACTATAGGGGGATGGAGGAGGGAGGAGTATGGCGGAAGGGGTGAGGGAGAAGTATGGCGGGATGGAGGAGGAGTATGGCAGGAGGGAGGAGTATAGCGGGAGGGAGGAGGGAGGATTGTGGCGGGATGGAGGAGGGAGGAGTACAGTGGGAGGGGTGAGGGAGGAGTATGGTGGGCCAAGGGGGGGAGGCCAACTATCCTCGCAGTATGGAGGGAGGAGTATGGCGGGAGGGAGGAGGAGGGAAGGGTGCCACGTAGGAGGGAGGAGGGAGGAGGGAGAAGAGC